GAAATTGAAACCACAGTCTAGACAGTTTATAGGATCTTTTGAAAAAGCGCCCCGATTTTGAAAGACCACGTCTAGACTGCGGTTTCAATTTTGAAATCGCACTTTTTCAAAAGAGCACCATTATGTGATTATGCAAATGAAACATGAGATATTTAAATCCTGGCTTCATTTGCTCTTTCAAAATGCTTCATTTACATCCCTCTACCGACAGTGGGATGTAGTCTAGACACACCCTAACTGTGGGACTGTGCTGTTGACATTTCCAGAATGACAAGCAGTTACTGACCCCAATAGAAAAATAAACCCCATTTAGATGAGCTCCTTCTATCAGATTTAATATAGTCTGGGATGCCCACCTGCTGGCTTCATGACTCCATTGCAGACTTGCAAGTGACCAAATTCAGTTGTCTCCCTGCAGATGAGTGGTCAAGCTTTCTGGCACTTTCAAATACAGACCAGTGCCTGTCATTGGGCCCGGATGCACTCAAGGAATAGGTGGTTTTAGACCCGGGGGTCTGTTTGGAGCTCTCAAATATTTTTGAACAAAAGATGCATGAACTGATCTGGGGGCCGGTGAAAGGTGCCAGGCCAATGGGGTCTTCAGTTAGGCTGCAGGGCAGGTAACCAGCAGCAGCATGAACTTCCCCCATTGTCCTTGCCAATGTACCTCAAACCTGTCTTTTCTGGTTTGGGCCCCTTGTTGAAACTGGTACCAGGTGGAGACAATGGTCTAGGGTAGTAAAGGCTATGTTTTACCATATCCTCTCAGCCTGAATTGTTTCTCTTCTAGGTCAAGGGGGAAATGGGAGCAAAGTTAGGTTTCATGTGAGAGCACAGTATGTGTATGTCTCCTCTGATACATAAAATGACACCTACCTCCTGCAGAGAGCAGACTCCTAGAAATGTTGAAGTGCAGTCCCAAGAAAAACAAAGCCATGCCATTTACGTAGCTACAGTATGTGTGCGTTTCTACTAGGAAATAGGCAGAGACCCACCAAATCATTTCCCCTTAGGCTCTTCAGCCATCAGATTGTAACAAGTTTTAATCACTAGCAAGCTCATAGATTCACAGAAACTGATTGATTTTGAGGGCAGAATGAGTCAGACCATTAGACCATATAGTCAGATTTGTATGTTAATGAAGGCCATAGAATTTCAGCCAGTTCCCCCTATGTTGAGTTGAGCTTGAGTCAACCTGGTAACCTAGGAGTAACATGTTTTTTTCCAACCTTTCATTTAATCCTCCCATCACTTCCAACTCTGGCTTAATTGTATCCTTCTATGGATATCTAGTTTCCTTATTTTTGGGCTGTCAGTTGGTTCTGTGCACCAGTTCTACCTATAGCTTAATTTCTAAAACAGACTAGATAAATAGTTGGGAACAGCATAGCTGAAGCTAGTTAGGAGGCATAATTTTTAAAAAGCTTTTGGATGACTATTGATTCATATTTTAATTTCCAGCAGCTTATTATATTGGGCAACATTAAAATGATTTAAATTTCTCAGATTTAGTAATAGTTCCTGTCTGTAAAAATAAAGCATTTACATTTGTTTTGCATAGCTCCAAAAATGCAATCACATCCAAATGGCAATAGCAGCATGAAATGCTACCGTGGTGTTTCTCAGCATTGACGACAAAAACATTCTGCTGCCTTCATCAACCCCATGACTCATTTATTTTTGCTTTCCCTCCCCCGCTAACTGTTAAGTAATGCATCGATTGTGGAAAGTCAGTGAAGACTGAAGTCCTTGCTGCACAAAAGTTTCTCTTCTTCTCCCATCCCTGCCTAGCCTGTAGAGTTCACCACGATGTAGAGACGTTTTTGGGGAGTAAGATAGCAGCGCCTTTTGTGCTTCATTCCAGCTTGAAATAGTCAATGAGGGTGTTAAATGTGTGTGGACAGCTGTTCACTAAGAACTGGATTGTGAACCAGGCCCATTTCAGACAAGGCAGATGGCAGCCATTAAGACAGCAACAAGTTCTGATTGCTGCTGGTCTGCATAGGATTTGAACTGGTGACCTAGAGGTGAAGAGACTTTGATCAATTCACTGAGCCCTGCTTGTTTTGCAATAACTCATTGCCTAATTAACTGCTGAACTATAAGAAAAGGGTAGAGGCTGAGGAGAGGGGGAAGAGAATTCTACCACTTTGTCATCTGGCTCAGAAGCTCCTATGTTGCAGTGCCCGGCTCTATTGAGGGGTGATGAGGAGCTGGTAACGCATTACTTGCCCAGATTCATGGTGTCAATTCCCTTTTCAGCTGTGGATACTGACACTGTGAATGTCTCAAGCAAAACCAATACACTTGTACAAAACCAACCTATTCCCTGATCCAGAAGGGAAGGTTCAGCACCATTACTCAGTGGTCTGGGAGAGGCTTTAAGTGTATGTCTACACTACAAAGTTAATTCGAACTAACGGACGTTAGTTCGGATTAACTTTGATAGGCGCTACACTAGCGCTCCGCTAGTTCGAACTTAATTCGAACTAGCGGAGCGCTTAGTTCGAACTAGGTAAACCTCATTCTACGAGGACTAAGCCTAGTTCGAACTTACTAGTTCGAATTAAGGGGTGTGTAGCCCCTTAATGCATACTAGTGGGAGGCTAGCCCTCCCCAGCTTTCCCTGGCGGCCACTCTGGCCAACACCAGGGAAACTCTATTGCCCCATACAGGGCCAAACCAAAGGTCCATCTAGCCCAGTAGCCTAACTTCTGACAGTAGCCAATGCCAGGTGCTTCAGAGGGAATGAACATAATAGAAAATTATCAAGGGATCCATCCCACCACCAGTTCCCAGCTTCTGGCAAACAGAAATGAGAGACATGAAGAGCATGTTGATAGATCTCTGCCCACACTGGCCAATAGCCACTTAGGAATCTATTCTCCGTGAGTTTATCTAAATCTTTTTTTAACCCTGATATTGCATTGGCCTTCATCACATCCTCTGGCAAAGAGTTCCATAGGTTGACTATGAAGCAATACTTTCTTTTAAATCTACTGCCTATTAATTTAATTGAGTGGCTTCTAATTCTTGTGTTATTTGAAGGAGTATATAACACATCCATATTCAATATTTCCATTCTATTCGTGCTTTTATGCATCTGTCATATCTTCCCCTTAATCATTTCTTTTCTAATCTGAAAAGTCCCAGGTTTATTAATCTCTCTTCATATAGAATGTGTTCAGTATTACTAATAATTTCGGTTGCATTTCTCTGTACCTTTCCCAAATCCAATATATCTTTTTTTGGGACGGAATGGTCAAATCTTCACATATTAATATGTGGGCATACTATAGATTTATATAGAGGCAAGATGATATTTTGTATCTTCCTACCTATCCTTTCACACAAGTCCCAATATTCTGTTAGGTTTTTTGATTGCCATTAGACATGGAACAGATATTTTCAGACAACTCTCCACTGTGACTTCAAGATCAGCTAATTTAGACCCCATCATTGTGTATGTATATGTGGGAATATATTTTGTCATGTACATTGCTTTGCATTTATCAATATTGTATTCCATCTGTCATTGTGATGCTCACCCACCCAGTTTTATGAAATATCTTTGTAACTCTTTGTAGTTTGCTTGGGACTTAACTACAGTAAAACTCCAATAGTCCGGCATCAAAATGGCAAGAGCCTAGTGAGTGAGCTTCAGCAAAAAATGAGTCACAAGGTAACAGCGGCAGCAGCTGAACTGAGCAAAAAGGGTAAAAAAGGCTTAAAAAACCTAAAATATTACAGTATACTATATACAGTATGTACAATAAAAAGGGTTAAGAACACTTTATATACAGTATATGGCAAGTGCAGCCGGTCTGATGGCCGAGTGCTGTGATGTGCCCAGTGTGGGCACTCAGGGCACTCCAAGCCAGGACTGCTTTGCAAGCGGGGCACCCCTGAGAACTGTCTGTCCGGGGTGGGGGTCAGGTCCCTTTAAGCACAGCCCTCGGCTAGCCTGAGGCAGCAGCTCCACACTCTAAGTCCTCATCTGATGCCCTGCCCTGCCCTGCCCTGCCGGCACCTCTTCCGGCCATCCTTAACCCCGGTTAAAACGCTAATTCAAACTAGTTTTTTAGTGTGGATCCGTTAGTTCGAATTAGCTTAGTTCGAATTAACTAATTCAAACTAAGTTAGTTCAAATTAGCGCTGTAGTGTAGACATACCCTAATATTCCCAGAGGTGAACCCTAAGTTGATAGTTGGATTCAATGGCATGTGGATTCAGCGTGTGAGCAGTAAAGGTGTTTGAAAACCAAGGTGTCTCTAATGAGGGAAGATTTTAAACAATTCTGATTTATGGGAAGCTAATTGTTCTCCTCCTGCTTTTGATGTGGCATTGATTAGCTTAAGAAGAGAAAAAGTATGATCTGGAATGTCAATGTACACCAGAATTGATTAGATCATCTTTAACACAGCCACTGACTTCTTTAGACTGGCAAAGCATGGAGAGTGTCGTAAGACACCATGGCGACGTCTAGACTGGCATGTTTTTCCGCAAATGCTTTTAACGGAAAAGTTTTCTGTTAAAAGTATTTGTGGAAAAGAGCGTTTAGATTGGCACGGACGCTTTTCCGCAAAAGCACTTTTTGCGGAAAAGCGTCCGTGCCAATCGAGACACGCTTTTGCTCAAAAAAGCCCCGATCACAATTTTCGCGATTGGGGCTTTTTTGCGCAAAACAAATCTGAGCTGTCTCCACTGGCCCTTTTGCGCAAAAGGACTTTTGCCTGAACGGGAACAGCAAAGTATTTCCACAAGAAGCACTGACAATCTTACATGAGATTGTCAGTGTTCTTGCGGAAATTCAAGCGGCCAGTGTAGACAGCTGGCAAGTTTTTCCGCAAAAGCACCTGCTTTTGCCGAAAAACTTGCCAGTCTAGACACAGCCCATATGTTGAAGCTGTCAATGTGGCCTTTTATGCCTTGTGCTTTTGGGGGGGAAGTGGTTTGTATTCCTCAAATTACTAATGCAGCAGTATTAACACTATTGAAAGGTTGAAGCTGTCCAATGACGAAATCAAACAGGCGATCTTGAAGATGGATGAACAAGAAGACTTGGCCAAAGATATGCTAGAGCAGGTGAGAAGAATTACAGTTACTTCTTATAATGGTTGGTCTAAGGATAAAGGGCCAGTTTCTCCTCTTTGCGCAGCTCGTTCAGCCCATTTGAGACCTAGGATAAGTGGATGCAGCTCATTCAATTTCACTGGAAATGCCTCTACTTATAGTAAGTCTGAATTTGGCTCCGAGACATAACTGCTTGTGTTAAAAAGAGAGAGAGAGAGAATATTTTACCCAGTGTGCCAAATGCATCCCTGGAATAATTCCACTGATTTTGATGGAGTTTGGATAAGCCCTTTTTTTATTACATTATAACTGAAGTTTCCTGATCCAGTGAATATGTGGTTATGATTTTACTAGTATTATTTTTTCTTTCCTCTAATTTCTACTGGCCCTTAACTCTTTCTTTCCTGCTTAACCAACTTCTTTTTTCTATTGACCATTCTCATTTCCTTCATTTCTCAGTTTGTTGACTAGAGCAGCAAACTGGGACTCTAGAGATCTTGGTTCTGTTCTCTGTTCTGCAGTTGGTTCGCTTTTTGCCTGAGTTTTCCCATCTGTGAAATGGCAGTAATGATGCTTATTCATATTTGAACAGTGCTTAGAGAGCCTTGGATTAAAAAGTGCAAAATATTGCTTTCATTCTGACCCCTCCATAAAAGATGGTGCCTTTTTATGCTCCATCTTAATGTTTAATTGTATACACAAAGTTTTGACATTTTACAAGTCTGTTCCCCATTCCCTTGAGGTCCCAGAGAGATTCAGGTGCTCGGCATCTCAATATCAGATTGTGGGTTTCTTGCAATAAAATATTAGCGCAATGATGAAAAACAGATCCGCTGCTTGGTATTCCTCACAATTTGCATCCTGTGAATGTGGGTTAGGATGTGTGCATGACGATATTTATAATCAAATTGAAGCACAACTCCCACCAAATATGTCAAAAATCTGTCAAAGTATGAGCTTTTAAGGTCAGCACATAAATAGCAGCCTGTGTCAGGCACACATACACTGACTTAGATATTGTTTATTGTTTCTGCAGAGCAGGGCAAGAAAGGAGAGAGATAGTTAGAGCTTTGTGTGGCACTGTAGAGTGAGTGGGGTAGATAATCTACATTTGGAGGGTATTTACTCTCATTTACATCAGTGTAAATCTGCTGTGTTAGTTTAAGGGGTTCTTTCTAGGTTTACACTGATGTAAATGAGAAGAGAATTTGGTGCTTAATAGTTACAAATGGGAAAGACTCTCTGAAACTAAAAAGAATCTAATGAGATCAGTGAGGGAAAATAAAGGCAGAACAGCAAGCAGATGTTTTAACATGGTCACTTCTGTAGCCACAGCTGCATGGCTTGGATATTACAGTCAGTTGGGGGAATCTGAGCTGTGCTTCCTCACAGTAGCACAGTTCACTCTTTCTCCCTTGCATGCTGTTTCGCCTCCCATCTGCGTGAGTGTATCCCCCTCTCTTGCTGGGTCCCTCATGCTTGTTTTTGATTTGTCTCTATGGTTCTAGCTGCTGAAGTTTGTTCCTGAGAAGAGTGACATCGATCTATTGGAAGAACATAAACACGAAATTGACCGCATGGCCCGGGCTGATCGATTCCTCTATGAAATGAGCAGGTCTGTGTGACATATGCTGAGAAAGAGCCCTGGGGACTTTCTGGAAGTTGCTGTAATTGTGATAGAAAATAGATAATGTGGCATTGGTGGGAAACAATCAATATATTGTGAGCCCGATTCTGCACTGAATCACACCCTGGGGCTCTGAGACACAACATGAAGGCATTTTAAGTCATTGTATCAGCCTTTCTGGGTGCTAAGAACTCTCTCTGTCTCCCAGTTAGGGAGCACTTTGGGTTGATCAGAACATGTTTGCCATACCTTTCCAACACCGTTCACACCTTCAGGTGTTCAGCTCTGGCTTTCAGCTTCTGAATTTCCTGAGGCTGATCACATCCCCTCCCATTGAGATCTGTCCCTTTTCCCAACCCAACCTGGCACCTCTACTGGGTGGGAATCTCTCTTCCATTTGAAGCCTGCTATAAAAACACATCTTTCTCAAAGAGAACGGAAACCAACCAGCTGCCCTGGAGATATGGTTACGGTACAAAGTTTGTGTTTGCTGCACTCTGAGGAATAGCACCTGATGCTAACTGACAGGCATTGGGAGCAATAGGTCTTTCTATGCCCAGGCTGCTTCAGTAATCCCATATCTGGCTTAGTTTTTTGTGTAAAATGAATGGTGCCTGTGCTGAATCTGTTTGTTCCTGAAGGCTGCCTTCACAGGTGGCCCAAGCTTCATGAGCTCCCCCTGCTTCCCGTCATGTAGGATTGATCACTACCAGCAGCGGCTGCAGGCGTTGTTCTTTAAGAAGAAGTTCCCAGAGAGGCTGGCGGAATGCAAGCCAAAAGTGGAAGGTACGACAAGGGCCTCTGTAGAGAGTCGTGAGGGGCAGGGAGTGTCTGAGAGATTTACACACACGCGAAGCATGTACCAGGCAAGAACACCAGCTAAGATGGTCATTCTGTGGGAAGGTTCCATAAAGTTGTTGTTTTGGCAGAATGTACCCTAACTGCTGCCCTGTACGTTACCCTGTGACACTAAACCAGCAGCACTCAGTGTGGGTATGTCTACACTACCCCCCTAGTTCGAACTAGGGTGGTAATGTAGGCAACCGGAGTTGCAAATGAAGCCCGGGATTTGAATTTCCCGGGCTTCATTTGCATCTTGCCGGGCGCCGCCATTTTTAAATGTCCGCTAGTGCGGACTCTGTGCCGCGTGGCTACACGAGGAGTTACGGTAGTTCGGAATAGGAAGCCTAGTCCGAACTACCTAGTCCATGCCGCGTGTAGCCACGTGGCACGGAGTATGCACTAGCAGACATTTAAAGATGGCGGTGCCCAGCAAGATGCAAATGAAGCCCACGAAATTCAAATCCCGGGCTTCATTTGCAACTCCGGTTGCCTACATTACCACCCTAGTTCGAACTAGGGTGGTAGTGTAGACATACCCTGTGTCCTTTTCAAAAGCAGGCTTCCATCACAGCCCCAACTCCTGGACGTCCCCCGTCAGGCTCTGACAGCCGGTGCACATGGTCCCTAGTGCTCTTTTATAAACTTAGCCCTTTGGAGTAGGGGAAGGTAGGGAGTAGGGGAAAGTGGGGTTCATCCGGTATTTAAACTCTTCCTCCTTGGGAATTACAGTGAGCACAAGAGCATGTGCCAGTCAGCATTTTCAAATTGCCCTGGGGGAGGCTGTGATCAGCCCCAGGATTGGATGCTTTGAAAGTGGGGCTCCCTGGGGCTGTGCTTTGGATTGCTTAGAGTCGGGGGAAGAAAAGCTGCGGAGCCATAACCTTGGGTCATCTTTTACTTCTTTTCAAGCCATTCTTCTAGCCTCCAAGGAGCTCACTCGCAGCAGGCATTTGAAGCAGCTCCTTGAGGTTGTCCTGGCCTTTGGCAATTACATGAACAAGGGCCAGAGGGGAAGTGCGTACGGCTTCAAAGTCTCCAGCCTGAACAAAATTGCAGACACCAAATCCAGCATAGACAGGTAGGCTTGAAAGTACCCAGCAAATGAAAGCGACCAGGTTGCATCTTGCTTCCTCAGGTAATGTAACTGTAGAAAATTTCAAATGGTGCTGAGGGCCCGAAAGAGCATTTGACTCTATTAAAACAGCACTGCAGTTCGTTTGCTTCTTGGGCAAAACTCGTCAGCTGTTTAACTACAAACAACAACGATACTTGTATTTAATATTCCACAGCTAATTTAAGCGGCATGGATAATTTCCGTAGAATTTGCCTGACACACCCTTGCTTAATAGCCTTTCTTTCTTTTTTTAATCTTTAGAAGATTAAAAAAAAAAACAGGCCAACAATTTTACATTTTATCCAAAAAGCAGTCGCTCTGACAGCACAACACATCCCCTGCCACCGTTCTGGGGTATAGATTCGATACTGACTTAGAGGAAAGAGCGCCACCTACTGAACCAATAACACCCTGCAGCACTTTAGATTCTCCTTGCATGACTCCCATGCAGGTATTAACCAGACTGTACCCCGGTTTGCTGGGATCTGATGAGACAGCAGCTTCAGGGGGAATAGCTTTGGGCTGTCATAGAATGAGTAACTGCAGTAAGAAGTCCTGTGGAATAAATCCCTGTCTTAAAAACGTTAAACCAATCAACCTGAATTATTTTTTAACTGTTACTATGTGCTTTCTGAATACACACATTGCAGGGCCAGCTTTAGGTAGTGCAGGGCCCAATTCGAACAATTTCGACGGGGCCCCACAGCAATTTTGGTTGAGCAAAAAAAAAAAAACTACACACATCCCCCATCACCACCCCCACAGCGCAGGGAAACCCTGTGCTCAATTCACACCTCCTGCAGCGCAAGCAGCCGCTGCACTCCTCCGCCGGGGCCAACACCCTCTCCCACAGCGCGCCCTGCACACTTCCGGGCAGGGGCAGCAGGTTTGTATAATTTTTGGTGGTGCCCCATTAGCCACACCCCCTGACCTCTATTAACCAGGCCTCCAGAGGTAACACGTTCAGGGCAAGATGGACACATGAACAGAAGTAAAAGGTGTCATGTGACCCCCCTCTAAGGGCTTTTCCCACCATCCTCCTACCAACAGGGATTAGTTTGGCCCCCACCAAACCCCCCTCATGCAACTATCCTGCAGTTGCATTAACCCAATGTGTGTGACATTATCTCAGGGGCAGAGAGGCTGGGGGAAGTGTTCCCTCTAAGACTATGTCTACACTTGCAGCTTCTTGTGCAAGTACAGTTGTTCTTGTGCAAGAACCCACAGAGCATCCACACTGCCCGCCTGCTCTTGCGCAAGAGCATTTACAGTACGGCGTGGCAAGACTGGGCATCTTGCGCAAGAGCTACGCTCTTTTCTAACAGGTGTAAGCTCTCTTGCTCAAGAGGGCAGTGTGGATGCTTGGCAGGGATTTCTTATGCAAGAAACCCCTATGGCTAAAATGGCCATCGGAGCTTTCTTGCGCAAGAGAGCGTCCAACTCTTGCACAAAGCACAGCTCACACATGGCAGTGTGGACGTGCTCTTGTGCAAGACTTCTTGCACAAGAACCCTTGCGCAAGAAGCCGCCAGTGTAGACATAGCCTAAGAGTTTCCTCCCATGAGCAGAATGAATGGTGTTGTGTACCAGTACTGAGTTCATGTGGCTTGTTTGGATGTGCCATTGTGGCACCCAAGTTATTTATAAATATTTTATAAACCTTTACCTTTTCTCTCTGCTGCCATGTCTCCTCCCCTTGCTCCATCAGCTCCCCTGGTGCCTGCTGCCCTCCCTCCCAACTCCTCACACACCTTCGCTGTCCTGACTCCTGCCCTTCTCACTGCCCTCAGACCTCCTGCGACCTGCCCCCCTCCACCAGCCCTTCTCTGCCCCCTGTGCCCACTCCTCCAGTAGCCCCACTCTGATCATGTGAGCTACCCCTCCTCATTCTCTCTTCTAACACCTCCCTCTACACACCTGCCCTGCCTCTCTCCTCTGGTGCTGGTCCCTCCCCTGCAGGTGTCTGCCCTTCTGCTTCACCCCCAGAATTCCCTGGCACCTGCACCTTCCCTTAGCCCTGCACCCTCCTGGTGCCTCCCCCTTCCCTCACTGCCCCTGCCCCCTTTTCTCTCTTTTTCCCTGATGCCCACCCCCTCACCACTCTCTGCCCCCATTTCCCTCATGTCCCTCTGTGCCCTCACACATGACTTGCTCCATCCCCACCTTTCTCATGCCCACCCCTTCTTTCAAGCCTTCTCCCAGCTCCTCCTCCTCCCCCCTGTAGCCACCAATGCCCTTACCCTCTCCTCTCACAGCATCACCCTGTCCCCCCTCCCACTGATACTTCCCCTCCTGCCCTTTTCCTCATTGTCTGCACTTGGCCCCCTGGCATTTGTCTCTCCTCCACCCTGTCTCTTGGTGCCTTCCCCTTTCTTCCCCCTCTCCCTCCGCACAAGCCCCTTCCTCTCCCACCCCTTCCCCTATTTTCATACTCCCCCTCCTCACAAGCCCCTTCCTCCCCATCCTCCTCCTGCTCCTATTCCCATTCCCTTACCTTTTGCTTTTCACTTTGCGGGGCTGGAATCTGTGCTCGGGCCCCAGAAGTCCCCGGACTCTGAACCCGGAACTAGACTGCGCGGCACAACGCGGCACTGAGAAGTTTTAAAGTCCCGGGCCGTGACGTCACGTCATGCCCAGGCGTATCCCCACTTACCTGGGAATGCTGCGCATGGTAGCAGCAGCCGGCAGCACACACCGGAGAGGGAGAGCCGGACTTAAAGCTGCACACGGCAGGGATGGGCTGGGGTTGGAGGGGATGCTCTGGGGCCGGAGTGGGAGGATACATGGGGGGGCCAGGGCCTGCTCCAGGCAGGGCCAGGGGAGAGAACCAGCTCCACATATTGGTGGAGCAGGGCCCCTGGCTCTGAATATTGGAGCACGGGCACCACGAGCCCATATAACTCAACGCCCATGCTTCTGGGTTCAGGGCGCGGGGCCCCTTTAGGCGTGGGGCCCGATTCGAGGGAATCGGACGAATCGGCCTATGGCCGACCCTGCACACTGAGGGTATGTCTACACTACCCCCCTAGTTCGAACTGGGGGGGGGGGTAATGTAGTCATGCGGAGTTGCAAATGAAGCCTGGGATTTGAATTTCCCGGGATTCATTTGCATAAAGGCAGCCGGCGCCATTTTAAAATGCCGGCTAGGTCAGACCCTGTGCCGCGCGGCTACACGCGGCACGGACTAGCTAGTTCAGATAGCTGTACGCCTCGTGGAACGAGGCGTACAGCTAGTTCGGATTAGGAAGCCTAATCCGTACTAGCTAGTCCATGCCGCGTGTAGCCGCTCGGCACGGGGGCCGACCTAGCCGGCATTTAAAAATGGCGCCGGCCGGATTTATGCAAATGAAGCCTGGGAAATTCAAATCCCGGGCTTCATTTGCAACTCGTATGACTACATTACCACCCCCTAATTCGAACTAGGGGGGTAGTGTAGACATATGCTGAGTAAGATGGCCAGATATCCTGTTTTCAACCAAACACCCAGTCATAAAGGGACCGTCTCCACCTCTGTCAAAATGAGTGCGGGCGGGGGAGAGCAAGCAAGTGAGGTTGAGGCAAGGGTGGTAAGTTTTGTTCCATCAGAAACTTGGCTACCCTAACTCTGAGGTTACTCGTTCCCTAGGAGGCTACTGCCTAGATATGGTTTTTTTCCCTTTGTCATAGTGGAACTTGAGTTTCAATATTTGGAATGTACTCTACAGATCCTGTGGCATACCCAAGTCCCTTTAATTTTTGGAAAGAATGATTCTTAGGAGAATAGTCTCTTTTAATTGGTGATGCTTTCATTTTATTCACAGAGTTGCTGATTTGTTCTCTGAAATTCACTTCATTTGATGTACCACCTTCCAGCACCAAATGCTTTGCGCTGGCTGGCATTTCCCCTTCCTCCTTTCATTTCTCATCCGTGTCCTTTTTGTTTTAGGAATATTACACTGTTGCACTATTTAATTATGATCTTTGAGAAGAACTACCCAGATATCCTAGACATGCAGGCTGAGCTGCAGCATCTTCCAGAAGCAGCAAAAGTCAAGTAAGTCCAGTGCTACTGTGGGTCCTGGATCTTGATTCCAAGTCTGTTGAAATCAAAGGAAAAGCTTCCATTGACTTCAGTAGGCTTTTAATCAGACATTTAGTCGCTTATGGCCTTGCTCTGCTAGTGTATTCCCAAGTAAGGACTAGCTCCTTAGCTGGTGTTAATTGCCTCAGTCCATTGGCATCCATGGAGCTGTGCTGACTTATAGCTACCTGCCTCTCAGTCATCTATGAAATCATTGAGAGTTTTATGCAAATATATCCTGTATAATATACCTGAACTAGTCATCATAATTACTAGACTTTTGGTAAGTCACTACTTGTGCTGTGCGATTGGTAATCTAAATCATATAATATTGTTTCTGCTCCATTTTGGGGAGTTGGAGGTTATTTAAAAAAACAAGAAACATAAAAGTAAAACAAACCCAGTAAATAAGTCCCAGGCTGTTTAAGCCATTTTCAAGATGATTGTGCAAACCTTTGTACAGACTTTTGCACAAGGGTTTCGGATACTTTCATTTTTCACTAAAGTTTTTGTCTTATACTTTCATGAATTGCAACTCACTTCATCAGCTGCATGAAGTGAAAGAAAAAGAAACAGATAGTAAGGATACAGAGATGGGAGTATTACATCTGTGTATCCCTATCAGCTGCTTCTTTTTCTTTCACTTCATACATCTGCGTAAGTGAGTTGCAGCTCACAAACGCTTATATTATTATAAAATTGTTAGTCTTTAAAGTGCCACTGGACTCCTTGTTGTTTTTGCTGAAACAGACTAACATGGCTACCTTTGAAACCTGTCACTACAGTTCTTGTTATAAATTCCTATGGATGTTTGTGGAAAACAAATAAAAAGGTTTCAATTACCATCAAAACTACTTAGGAGTTTTTCCAAAACACTGTTCCAGAATATTTGGGTGCATATTTGCCCAGCCATTGTTCTTTGTGTGAGCAGCTGGAGTGGTCTGGTACCTCTACAGCCTGTGAAAAGCAAGGGAAGAATGAATGAAGGTTATAAAAAGAGACATTCTGTGCTCCCAGCTCTCCTGCAGAGATTAGGTAGTATCAGTGCTGTGTTTTGAGATGTGGACACTTCTCCTTAATGAAGAGATTGAGAAACAATTTTTCACTCACTAGTAACCTACAACCAATTTCTAACCAGTGATGGAGAGGTGACAGACTTCATCTCCTCGTGGTAATGAAAAGTACCCTGATTTTTGTATGCTAAGGAAATATCCAATTCAACACTAGTTTAGAAGGAGTTTGTCTGTTAGTGATCACTAGGGTAGGATTATGTAATCTAGATATGGACTCCTATGTGATTCAAAAAAAAAGTCAACAACAGTATTTGGATAGTGCATGGCAAAAGATAGTTTAGTAATAAAACTGCCCCTAATGGGATTCTGTAATTAGGTAGGGAGAAGATGTTTTGTGAAACTGATCTGAGGCCCATGTGGTGTGTGTGCTGAAGCAATGAATCAGGCAGTTATTACAAACTAGCTTTGTGACTAGCACTCCATGCTAGAGCTGGGTTGACTTCACAGCCCGGTATCTTGTACCCTGTAACAGATGTTTGGAATTTAAACCTTTCTCTCCTCTCCATAAATATCATGGCATCTTTAATCTGACCACAGGCAGTTAGGACCTTGGATTTACTTCGCATACAAAAGGAAGCACAGACCCCTTCCCCCAAAGCCTAGCATCTGGCATGGCTGGTGCCAGAGGCAGGATCCCAGACTTGATGGACCAGTGGTCTGTTCTGCTACAGCAGTTCCTGTATCCCTGTGTAACACTACCCTTTTTGTTTTCACGGCTGCGTCTCTGTGTCTCCCTTGCAGCCTGATGGAGCTTGAGAAGGAAGTTAACAACATAAAGACTGGATTGAAAGCCGTTGAGGTTGTAAGTATGTCAAGATTTCCAAATCTCCACACTAAGAATGTGCCACTTGGGATCTGGGGCACTATATTTTCTATGAGAAAAGAAGGGGGCTTTTCTTCTTTCATGCGTTCATGGGAGAAAATAAATAAAAGCTGCTCCTGCAAAGCTCTTGGTGATGATCCTAGCAGACTTTGGCCTTAACAAAAGGCTCGTTTGAGTTTGGTCTGGAGAGCAAGAGACTGACAAATGGCGCAGACATGAAATGAAATAAGCCTCTTTGCTTGGTGCTGAGAAATCACTTGTTGCTTAGCAGGTGTCTCACATGCCCTTCTGCCACAATTATCACTTGCTCTATCTCCCAGCAACCTGAGCAGCTGCAGGAGAGGGAGAAGAAAGACATAGACTAGGCAGAGAGGACAAGGATGAAGAAATTGTAAGACACCAGGCAAATGGCATTTCTTCCCACGGTTGCTGAAAGTCCCCTCGGTTGCATTTCTGCTTCCTTTGCTTCCTGGGCTGCTGGCTCACTTTTGCAGCACATTCTCTGAAAACAGAGTAATGCAAAGTATTGCATTGGGATGAACCGGCCTTCCACTCAATGTAACACCATCTCAGGGGCTAAAGCTGAGGCACAGGTGTGAATTATTGAGCTTTTCATGTCAGCACATGGTTTCTCCACCTAGAGATGGCCAGAAAAATACACAGTATTGAGTCAACATGAGGGCACTTGCAAAATGAGTGGAATTCAGGAGGGTAGCTAACAAGTGGTATCCATTGATATGGCATATTTATTAAGGAAGGGTGAGGAGCTTGAAATGTGGAGATTAGAATTTAAAGAAAAAAGAAATGAAGGCATAATTCAACAGTAAACCCAAATCACAAAGGGTATGTCTACACTACCCTCCTAATTCGAATTAGGAGGGTAGTGTAGACATACCCTTTGTGATTTGGGTTTACTGTTGAATTATGCCTTCATTTCTTTTTTCTTTAAATTCTAATCTCCACATTTCAAGCTCCTCACCCTTCCTTAATAAATATGCCATATCAATGGATACCACTTGTTAGCTACCCTCCTGAATTCCACTCATTTTGCAAGTGCCCTCATGTTGACTCAATACTGTGTATTTTTCTGGCCATCTCTAGGTGGAGAAACCATGTGCTGACATGAAAAGCCCTTCCTCAAAATGCAAGCATCTACTTCATTTTCTTTTGTTTGTGGGTTGTTTGCCCTCTTGTCCTTCTAGCTACTTCTCCTCTGCTCTCCCATATATACAGAGACCATATTTTCTGAAGCAAAATTAAGGACGTTAGCCACGCCTCCTGACCCACATTAGCCATGCCCCTGCCACAAGAAGTCCCACCCCTTACCTGCCTTTGACATGGAAAGCAGTTTGTGGGGCTGGAGCCGGGCTGTGGTACTATTTTTAGGACCATGTGCTGGACCATATGCTGGGACTGGAGCAAAGGCCGCCCACGGTGATATTTTTAGTACCATAGTCCTGGTCCCTGTGGGCTGCCTGGCTCCAACTGGAGTCAAGTGGCAGCTGCACAAGGCCCATTCCAGTGAGGCTATCCCAGCTGCAACACACCTCGTGCAGCTGCCACTTGTCTCCAGCTGGAGATGGGACCACCTGTGGGGACCTGGACCACAGTACTAAAAATAGCACTGTGGGTGGCCTCCACTCCAGTCCCGGCACCTGCTGAGCCCGAGTGCCCCCCACTCTGCAGTGCCCCAGCCGGGGCTCCAAGGTGGTCCTGAGGAGGAGGAGGCAGTGCTGCTGGACCAGGACCCTGCATGACAGAGACGGTCCCACAGGAGGAGTGAGGGAAGAGGAGAGCAAGGGGCTGTGTGCCACCGGAACCTGCCCGGCTGCCCTACGCACTCTGCAGGGGGAAGGAGGATGAGATTCCTGTGCCACATCAGGTTCCCCATCAAGTAGTGAAATGTCCAGCAGGGCTTTCTGGGACATTTCACTACTTGATGGGGCACCAGGACAGAGCATTTAAATTTGGGACTGGCCTGGAAAGATCGGGACATATGGCCAGCATACCTTTATGTGTGAATTCAGGGGCAAAATCCCCTCCCCATTCAGTCACCATCCTCCCTCTTTCCCCTCCCTTACATGATGCTTTTCAGTTTGAGCTGCCAGCACTTCCCAGTCTCATTCCTTTCACATTTTTGGCACTTAAATTACAACACTAGAGCAACAATAGAAGATCATTGTCAGGTGTGGGGGAGAAGGTGTAACTTTTGTTCACCTTCCAAAGTATTCTCACCACAATCCTGGCTTCGCTGACTGAGAAGATTCTTCAAGGCCCCATAAGAATAGAAAACTAAAAATAGTTTCACAGCCAGCTGCTCTTAAAGGTCCTTGTACCCCTTCCCTTTCCTACCTTTACAGTGTAATTTAAAGCTTGGACAGCCCTTTCTCGCTCAGTCCAGTTTTTAGAAATCACAGATCTGAAGATACACATCCAGCCATGGCTTCTCATGCAGGATACATTGGTGATTAAATTTGTAAACTTCAATTGGTATTTATTGGCCTCTATATATGATCATTCATTGTGCTGAAAAGGTGCCTGGGGAGCCCAAGGGAGGTGGTAGGGGTATGCAAACTCTTGTTCTGAAGACGGGATTTCTGACCATCCAGCTGAAGGGGTGCCTCAGTCAGCAGAAGGAGAGCTTTCATGTATAAGCACATACATGTTGATCCATAATTAAAAGTTGTCCTGATTGTAAAACCAGTCTCCCAGCTAGATAGGAAATGCTTCCCATATTCTGACACTGAGCTCCCCTCTACTTGCTATCGAAGGCACAAAGGTCAATTCAGCTAGCCAGTCTGTCCATCCGAGAAACTTGTCCGGCCTCCAACACTGTAGAGCCTGTCCACCTCATGATCTTTAATGCATTTGTCTTCTAAAAACCCCGGGTAGGCAAAGAAGTGCTATTATACCCATTTTACAGCTGGAGAACTAAGGTGTGGTGATACTAAGTGACTTGCCCAAGGTTACACAGGAAATCTGTGGTAGAGTAGGGACTTAAACAAAGATCTCCCAAGTCCTAGGCTAGGGCTTTAACCAGTGAGTCAGCAAATTTCCTTGGTGATCATTTTGAGCAGGTTTGTTTCACCTCTGATAGAAATACTGCAGTATACTACAGTAAAAGCCCAAATCCTGGCCCTTGGATAATGGATTGTAAAATATTTAAAAAATAAGAGCAAGGCAAACATCAGAAACTGTGTTTACTTTACCATGTGGAGGGTCAGCTCCATATCTGAACACTCACAAGGCTTTGCTCTTCTATGTCTTGAGTACAAAGATCTCAAAGCTCTTTGCAAATATTAATTAGGGACAAACACTGGCAAAACTCAAAATGCCCCTTTGTGCAAGGGACAGTGCAGCCCAGGATGCTTCAACAGCTCTCTGGAAGCTATTTTCTGCCACCAGCCCAGCTCCAGGGCAGAGCAGCTTCCTGCAATGTCCTGTGATCCCCAGTACAATTGCACTATTAAATAGATTATCATTTACTTCCAGTGACTCCATGGAGTTATCTGAATTACAGTTATTTCCCAATCAAAGTATAAGTAAAACCATAGTGTCCCAGCTCTGTGACAGTTAGATACTAGAGGTACTTTAGCAACACAGTAAATTAGATGGATAGTATGGAACTCTTCGGTTAGAGTTGCAGGATCCAGGAGATAACAAGTAAGATCTACCTCCATCTTGCGAGAATTCTGCCTTTTGAATAGGTGAAAGCAGAGGTGGGGGGTGGTTCTGAACAGTAGTTGCTGATAGGTATATTGGGGAAAGAGAGCGTGCCCTATGTTAACCGAAACAAGCGGGTTTACCCAGCCCCATTCTTCTCACTGCCGACTGCCAATCAACACTTCTCGCCTCTTCTCTTCCAGGAACTGGACTATCAGAAAAGACGCATGCGGGAAACAGGGGACAGGTTTGTGCCTGTCATGAGTGACTTCATCACTGTGGCCAGTTTCAGCTTCTCGGAGCTGGAAGACCTTCTGAACGAGGCGAGAGACAAGGTAGGCAAACCCCTGAAAGTGTTTGTCTGGAACCTGTGCCTTTCAGCCAGCAGCTTTCACACCCAACTTCTGTGACTTTTTACTGACTGACAGCTAGGAAGCTCCTTTGTTCTGCTTCCTCTGGATCCAGATGAGTGGGCTTGTAGGGATACCTGGGACAAATTGTGTACCTCCAATTTCTGTGTAAGCACAGGGAAGGAAATCCCCTAACCAACAGATATTGTTGCTACTTTCTTTTTCATATTTCATGTATCTTTTTTCCAGTGGAAAGTGCCAGATTGGTAGCCCTGGGGACTGAGTTCATCTACGCCCTAGAGGCAGGCCATGGTGGTAGCACTCAGGCATGGGTTAAACGTAGGCTAGGTCTTGGGTTCCTAGATGAATCTTGGGCAGAGTCTGAAGCTTACCAGCAGCTCTTGAGAGATTTTGGCCATCTTGGGTCAGTATCTCCTGGAGCCAAAATGGAAGCAGCAGATTACAACACCAGGACATTAGTGTGAGTGGCGTGAGGTGGAAGGCAGCATCCTGACATTCAAAGAGTTTCAGGGTAAAGGTGATGAGTTTGGCCTATCTGTCCCATTCACTGAATGGATACAACCCATATCACCCTTGAGATTTTGCCCATTATGTCTTTTGCTTCTCTAGAGCTCACTGTGGAGCGTGGTGTGTATGGAAGAAAAGGGACGGGAGGGTTGTGTGACGTGCTGTTAGGAGGTGTTGTGTTATTGGGATTGCTGGCTTTTGGTCAGAAACAAGATCCCCTTTGGTTCTTAAAGATCTCATGACACACATTTCAAGAATAAGGTAAACGCTGATGATGTAACGGAAGGGAAATTTTTCAACTGGAGAAATGAATTCTTTACTTCCTCCCCTCTGACAGGGGAGGGATCACATGAGGAATCCCTGGTGTGTTCCCTCCCTCTGGGGCATCTGGTATTGGCCACTTTTGGCAGACAGGATACTGGGCTAGATGGACCTTTGGTCTGACCCACTATGGCTGTTCTTATATTCTTCAGAAAACAAAGAAACACCCTGTTAGGTTGCTGACTAAGAGTGGTTACTCATCCCAGCCTGTAGGACGCTGCATTTCAGTAATAGGCGGGTGATTCCCAAATATGTAAATCTGCAAAAAATATTAGGATCCTTCATGTTAAAAAGTTCCCTAAGTGTATTAATGTTCAGTTATTATTGTCATCAGCTTGCACTTGCTTCTTTGGACAAATCCAATAAGGGAAGTGCAGACCTCTGCCGAGGTGCCCAGCTCTTTGCTGATGACTTGAAGCTGGCATTAATCCCTCCGTCTTTTGGTTGAATGGGAAAGAACATGCACGAAAAGCTCCTAAGGATCTGAAAATGTTCAAAGGAACGAGGCCTAAAATAAATGTGGAATGGCAACCCTGTGCTGGTCGGCTGGCAATGTTAAAAGTGGCTGTCCACAGTGAGCAAGTATTTCCTTGGGACATGTTGGTTTCCATTGCTGGTGTCGATAGTTTGAAGTGAGAGATGTGAGGGACCAAACTGCACAGTGAATAAAATATCAGTAATTGAGTTGCCAGGCCTCCTGTTTTTCAGGGGACAAGCAAGATACTGGAGAAGGATCAGGACAATTTGAACCCCTCAGTAACTGTGTGGTCAGTGTCCTGTCAGCATGGGGCACCCTTGCTTTGACCTAACATTTCATCACAATGGGCATGACTTGGCTTGTTAGAATTGCAGCATTTGTCTCACAGCACCCCCACCACAGGAATCCCAAGGTCCCAACAAGAGTTGGTTGGTTGTTATGGCAAAATGGCACAGAAGTCATTAGCTGGCACTCTCAGCAAGGAAGGGTGGTTTATATCTCAGACCCTCCACTTCTGTTATAGCATGGCTTCCTTAAGAGAGCTGCCATTCCTTGGAGTATTTTGGACCTGGAGTTACACCTTATGTGCCCCTAGACACAACATCTTCAGTGCCCCCAGCTGACCTTTCTGTTGCACACAGTTTGAGAGGTGAGGTGCCCCTAGAATGTTGGTGCTCTTATGCACGTGCCTAATTGAAAATCCAGCCCTGGGTGCATTCTATTGACAGGTACTGAGTGTGAGCAAGGCCATTCATTTAGGGATCGATATTGGGTTAAAAACATAAAATCATTCACTCAAGGCAGGGATACAACATTTCCTTGATCAGGCCAGGGCAGGAAAAAGGGAATCCTGTTGCTTTAAAGATTTTGGAGAGTCTCCCCGCAGTCAGACCAACATGTCTGGAACTTGTTGCACATGTTTTTCAACATTTGCCAACATAAAGCATTTAACAAGAGAGGTTTTATGTTAACGACTCTACCATACTTAGGAAACCTCTCCCCCGTTCCCTATTACCTTCTCCTAATGCACCCCACTCTTCTTGAACATATGCCTTTCCAGCTTCTGCTGAATCTAGACCTTGGGTTCTCCCACTGGCATTGAGCTGCCTTGGACTGCTGAAAGAGAACACTCTGTCCTTGCCAGCACTGTGCTCGTTCTCATGTTCACTCCATTCCCCCCTCCCTTGCTCCTTTTTCACAACTGGAAAGTCTCAACAAAACAGATGTGCTTCCCGGAGGCCATGATGGCTCCCGTGCTCCACAGACTCTCTGTGTTCGCTGAATTGTGAACCCTGTCCCTGCTGTGGAAACTACAACTGCTCAGCAAAAGGAGGGCAGAGCACCCATGGAGATCTCACTATCCTGTTCCTTTTGATTGCTAGAAACATACTGGGGGAGGGGAAATGACATAAAAATCCGAGGGGGTAGCCGAGCTAGGAAACAGGAAAAACTTAAAAACTTAAAAACCAACAAACGATCTGGTAGCACTTTATAGACTAACAAAACCGGTGGATGGGATCATGAGCTTTGGTGGGCTGTGTTAGTCTATAAAGTGCTACCAGACCATTTGTTGGTTTTTTTAAGTTTATAAAAATGCTAATGAGGCCTGGGAGAAAGGGGCTGGTCCACCGATTTTAATAGTGAAGTTATGGCTTTCACAGCAGGTGTTGAATATCATTCTAAATATAGAGCAGGTATAGTGCAGGTACTGCAGCTTTCCCCACACAGTGCTACCCATGCACCTCAACCCTACCTTCAAACCACCACCTCTAATGTGGGGGGGGGATGTGTTCAGTCTCACGTGGCCCGTGCAGTCTCTGGCCTTTTTGCTCAGACAGACAGCAACAGGACCACTTGGTGCCAACTGTCACAATGCAGAAGAAATGATGTTTTAAATTTTAAGGTCTAGATTTTCAGACCCTAGCCTTTATCTTTGCAAACCAAATGCTATAACCACCATGAATGTTCCCTCTAGTCTAGTGGTCTCCAACCTTTTTACCCACAAGACACTTTTCCAATTTAAGTGCAATGTAAGATCTACCTCAAACCCAAATACCCTAGTCCTGCTTCCTTCCCGCCCCTTCTTTGAGGCCCTGCCCCTGCTCCACCCCTTCTCTGAGGCCTCACCCTGCTCACTTGATCTCCCTTTTTCTCCCATCCTCACTCACTTTCACCAGGCTGGAGTAAGGGGTTGGGGTGCAGGCTCTGGTCAAGGGCCAAGGGTTTGGAGTGAGGGAGGAGCTCCAGGCTTAGCCCAGGGTGGGGGATTGGAGTCCAGGAGGGGTGTCAGGGTGCAAGCTCTGGGCAAGAGTTTGGGTACAAGGGGACTCGCATCTGGGCCAGGAGGGCAGGTGCAGGAGGAGGTTCAGGGCTGGAACAGGGGTTCAGGAAGCAGGCTCTGGCTGGGTATCACTTAACAAAGATGGCTTCCGGTTGATGGAGCAGTGAGGTTAAGGTGTGCTTGCTCCTGCCCTGACCTTGCACCACTCCTGAAAGCAGCTGACATGGACAGCAATGGCTCCATGGTGCCATGTGCTGACCCTCTGAGCCCACAGCTTCTACTGGCCACAGTTCCCCGATACTGATCAATGGGAGCTGCAAGAGTGGGGTCTGCAGGCAACGACAGCATGTGGAGCCTCTCTGCTCTGCCTCTCTCAGGGGCTGTAGGGAGATGCCAGCCACATCCAGGAACAGCAATTACCACAGGGATAATGACTCCAGCCACGACAGGTTCGGCATTTGAGAACTCACTGCTCAAAGAATTCAATGTAAGCGTAGAGAGAAATGAAAATGATGAAATGCACAGGCCAGTCAAGACGCAAAGATAACCCACTTTGCAAGGTGTAACGGAAGTTACAACAACCTCTCATGTTTGTGTTGGGTCAGGAGATGAAAGGGAAGGACAGTGTGTGTTTGTGAGAATGATGGAGACACACACTGTGTGTGAGTGACAGAGATTTGCATTGCCAAGCTCCCTCCAGCCCCTTCTCTCTGTGTGGAGATGGGGTACAGAAGCGGGGGAGGAGGGACACCCTGACATCAGCCCCCTCCTCTTCTCCCTCCCAAGGGGCAGCTCCAAGGCAGAGGGCAGGAGCAGCATGACAGTGGGGGGAGAGGCAACTGAAGTGCCAGCACTTGATAGCTTCCTGGCCAAACCAGTCAGGATCACCTGTCAGAGGCTACAAGATCCAGCGGTAGATCCCGATCTCCTGGTTGGTAACCATTGGTCCAGTCTTTTCCATCCATGTGCAGATTTTTCCCATTTGTGTGTGGAATACATTTTTATGTGCACTGAGGCTGTGGGCGCTCTGCTAATTAGCTGGGTGGCATTTAAATCTCTCCTGAGTGGCCACAGATGTGCACAGCTTAGAGGGAACACTGATCACCATCATCTGTGCATGCCCAAAACATGCTCAGTTAAGATCGGGCTGAAAAATTGGTCCCCACTCTCCTGACACTCACTCATAAAGCTGGGCATTTTTCTCCTGCTGGTTTTTCATCTTCAGTACACTGTGACATCGGAGAGGTAGTTTTTTTAGGAGAACTCACAGAGTTAATTAAAGGTTATTTTCTGCCATTTCTGGGATGGAGGGGTGAGAGAAATTCTATCCTGAAACCTAATCCCAATTGATATATACTTGATCAAGATAGAAATTGT